GTTTCTTAGGGCCTTTCTAAATTGCTGAGGCTGGCTTTGATCCTGAGATCCTCCAGCCTCAGCCTCCCAAGCTACTGGCATTACAGGCATGCACCACTGTGCCCTGCGTTGGGTCTGCTATTTTTTCAAATGAATTTCATGACTGCTCTTTTGATTTCTATGAAGAAAGTCATTGGAATTTTAATGGGAATTGCATTTAATCTGCACAGTGCTTTTGGTAGTATAACCATTTTGATGATATTTTTTTCTGCCTATCCAAGAGCATGGGAGATCTTTTTATCTTCTGAGGTCTTTTTAAATTTCTTTCTTTAGTATTCTGTAGTTTTCATTGTAGAGGTCTTTCACGTCTTGTGTTAGGTTGATTTCCAAATATTTTATTTTTTGAGGCTATTGTGAATGGGATAGTTTTCCTAATTTCTCTTTCAGTTGATTCCTTACCTATGTATATTAACACAATTGATTTATGGGTGTTAATTTTATATTCTGCTACTTTGATGAGTTCATTTATGAGCTCTAAAAGTTTTCTGGTTGAGTTTTTTGGATCTTCTAAATATAGAATCATATTATCAACAAATAGGGATAATTTGAGTTCTTCTTTTCCTATTCATATTCTTTTAATTTCTTTCTTCTGTGTAATTGCTCTTGCTAGAGTTTCCAGGATGATGCTGAATAGAATTGGTGAAAGAGGGCATCCTTGTGTGTTCCAGTTTTTAGAAGGAATGCTTTCAATTTTTCTCCATTTAGAATGATGTTGGTCTTGGGTTTAGCATAGATTACTTTTATAATGTTGAGATATGTTTCTACTCTCTCTAGTTTTTCTAGTGTTTTGAACATGAATGGATGCTTTATTTTGTCAAATGCTTTTTCTGCATCTACTGAGATATTCATGAAATTCTTGTTTTTATGTCTATTGATGTGATGAATTATACGTATTGATTTCTGTATGTTGAACCAATCTTGCATCCCTGGGGTGAACCCCACTTGATCGTAGTGCACTATCTTCTAAATATGTTTTGGTATGCTATTTGCCAGAATTTTTATTGAGATTTTTTTTCACCTATGTTCATCAGGGATATTGGTCTGAAATTTTCTTTTCTTAATTTCACTCATATCATCCTTCATGTCATGGATCAGTTTAACTAGTGCACTCTAAACTCCTTCTCTGACATTTCTTCCACTGTGGTGTCAATGGATCCTGTTATTGGAGCATCCTGGTTTGTGTGTGGTGCTTTGTTCCCTTATTTTTTTCATGTTGCTTGTGCGTCTACCCATCTAGCCGTATGGATCTGAGGCAGTACAGTTTCTACCCTGGAGAATTACAGTGTCCTTGTAGGTTTCCAGTACCTTGCCATTAAGGGGGAGATAAATAATAACCACAACCAATGCACAGCATTAAACCAAATAGCTCCTGATAAGACAGCTACAGTTCTGTCACAATAAACAGAAATGATATGACCAGTTATTAATTACAATAAAAACAGTAAGTTTGCAAAAGGGTTTGCAATTTCAGGTGGCAGATAAGGAGAAAACAGCAGTGGTCTAGGATGATTATGAGGGAGGGGGAAAGGAAAGAAAGTAAAAATAATAAAGGAAGAGTGAAAGAAGAACAATAGAAGAAAAGAGAGAAAGAGAATGAAGGGAAACAGGTAAGTGAGAAAAATATATACATATATAGTAAAAATTGTGAAAATAGAAAAATTTAAAAATAAAAGAATATAAAATAAAACTGAAATATACTAACCAGACATTCTGGCCCTTAATAAACTGATCCATGAAAAATAGCTGTTTTCAAAAAGGATTGAAATGTAAGAGAAAAAAAAATTGATGAAAAGTTGAAGAATTGTTTGCATTGGAGAGCAAAAGCTTTTCCGCTTGTCTTCTCCACTGGGTTTGGTCTGGAGTGTGATGCTTGCTCCACCCTCAGAGTGGGGTTGCTAGGGTGAGAGAATTAATCCTGGAGGCGGGACCCCTGGAGCAGGGGTTTAGGTTTAGATATGCCCCAGGCTCTTTGCTGAATGCCAGTTGGTCTGCAGATTTTAAATCAGCCCACCTCCAGGGCCCAGCAATTACTGGTCCACACTGGAAGACTGTACCCCAGAGATCATCCCTCAGTTCCACCTGTGTCGGGGAAGACACAGTTCTTAGTCCACTCCATTCCCTGCAGACCCCATGTTTCCTGGTCTTGGGTTCAGTCTCCAAACTCAATCTCTCCTGCCCTCTACCCTTTTGAATTCCTGGTCAGATGCATCTCTTCCTGCAAGCAGATGGGTTAGAGGGGGGGAAGGGAAGAGCTGGGTGGGTTTCCATGATCAGTAGACCCCTGTGAAAACCTCTATCCAAGCTTGATTTTCTCCTGGTCTCTTAGGCATATTCTCTGTCATGCAGCATTAGTTTGTCAGGACTATTTTATGGGTCAGCCTCTGATCTGCCAGAAATTGGCTCCCTCTGCTGCCAGCCCCCACATGGTGGCTGCAAAATGGTTCCTTCCTTTATCCTCCACAGGCCACTGGGAAAGATGTGATTTCTTTCCTTTTTTTTTTGGTGGTGGGGGGGTAGGTGCTGGACATTGAACTCAGGGATACTCAACCACTAAGCCACATCCCCAGCCTTATTTTGTGTTTTATTTAGAGACAAGGTCTCATTGAGTTGTTTTGCATCTCACTTTTGCTGAGGCTGGCTTTGAACTCCAGATCCTCCTATCTTACAGCCTCCCGAGCAACAAGGCAGGCTGAGGCAGGAGGATTGTAAGTTAGAGACCAGCCTCAGCAACTTAGTGAGTCCCTATCTTGAAAAAGAAAATAGAAAGTGCTGGGAATGTAGCTCAGTGGCTAAGAATGTCTGGGTTCAATTCCCAGTACCATGATTTAAAAAGAAGGAGAAGGAGAAGAAGGAAAAGAAAGTAAACTTTCAGGAGTTAATGAGCTAAATTTCCATTCAGATTGACCTTGAGATATCTTTGATGTTGCCAAGGGAACATAGGTTATAAAAAGTTCAAAGATGAATGTAGAGCTCAGGCAAGTCAGTTGGCTATGATTTTGTGGGGTGGAAGCCTTGGGCTTCATTGCCTTGCAGGATGGAGGCTAAATCAAAGTGGGTGAACTGAGTCCAGAATGAGAGCAAAGGGTCTGCACTTATCCACTCTTTTTCCTGAGAGCTCTGCTACAAATGGACAGTGATTAGAAAAAGATAGCTTAAAAAGTGACTTCTAAAAATGGTTGTGACTTGAATCTACTTCTAGGCAGAGTTGAAAATTCTATAGGGAAGGGAACTGCTACCAATAACCCAAGCAAAGGAGGATGATAGGTTGAGGAAGGTCTCTGAAGACATGCAGTGGAGCACAGACACAACTTTGCACAGAGATAATCTGACACAAAAGACCTTGTCTCATGATGTGACCAAGGAGAGGAGAGGGTGAATGCAGATGCTGAGTGGTTTGCGGCAGGATGCAGGGAAATTCACACGTAATAGCTATTCTTATTGGAGGAGGTGAATTCCCTCCTCAAATCTTCCTTCAGTAGATGGATCATTCTCTGATGCGGCCCTTAGGTCACTAACAGCTGCAGTAAAATTGCCTAGCTCTCCAGGGCATGTGTGTTATTTAGGTCCAGGCTTGGTTTGTACTTTGACATGTCATAAGTGCTGTACGTCATCTTTCCAGGGCACTTCCTTTCCTGGGGAAGGCAAGAGTCTTCTCTGATCATCCAGTTTTCTTTTGACCACTCGCTTGCAGTGTAGCCTGAGGGAAGATTGTCTCATTCGCTAGAATTTAGGCATTTCCTTGTATATCAGGGTAAAAATAACACATATGTGTAAATTCTATGACGCTCCACATGAGTTATCACTATATTATTTCAAATGACTAGTGCTTCCAAGAGAAGTTAAAGAAATGAAAGGCTACATCATGTAGTTTAGATTTCTGTAAGATTCACCAGGTATTGTTATGTATCATTTATTCCCCCACCAATACATCTCCTTTCACTTAAAATAACTGTTTACAGCCATACTATTCACTGAGATATAC